ATTGAGATGATCAAGTGGTTTTGTCTTTGCTTCTGTTAATGTGGTTTATTATTTATTGATTTTTCGTATGTTGAACCACCCCTGCATCCCTGGGATGAAGCCTACTTGGTCGTGGTGAATAATTTTTTGATGTGTTGTTGAATTCGTTTGCCATTATTTTGTTGAGGATTTTTGCATCAATGTTCATTAAGGAGATTGGCCTATAGTTCTCCTTTTTGGAGGTGTCTTTGCCTGGTTTTGGGATAAGTGTAATACTGGCTTCAAAAATGTGTTTGGCAGTTTTCCTTCCCTTTCTATTTTTGGAACAGTTTAAGGAGGGTTGGTATCAGTTCTTCTTTAAAGGTCTGATAGAATTCAGCAGAGAATCCATCAGGTCCTGGACTTTTCTTTTTGGGGAGACTCTTGATTGCTGCTTCAATTTCATTTTGTGTTATAGTCTATTCAGGTGATTAATTTCCTCTTGGTTCAGTTTTGGATGATCATATGTATCTAGAAATCTGTCCATTTCTTTAAGATTTTCAAATTTATTTGAATATAGGTTCTCAAAGTAGTCTCTGATGATTCCATGGTGTTTGTTGTTTATCTCCCCTTTTGCATTCCTGATTCTACTAATTTGGGTTTTTTCTCTCCTCATTTTAGTCAGGTTTGCCAGGGGTCTATCGATCTTTTTTTTTTCAAAGAACCAACTTTTTGTTTCATTAATTCTTTGTTTTTTTTTGGTTTCTATTTCGTTGATTTCAGCTCTTATTTTTATTATTTCTCTCTTCTATTTGTTTTGGATTTGCTTGTTCTTGTTTTTCTAGGAGTTTGAGATGTATCATTAGGTCATTGATTTGGGATCTTTCAGTCTTTTTAATATATGCACTCATGGCTATAAACTTTCCTCTCAGGACTGCCTTAGCTGTGTCCCATAGTTCCGGTAGGTTTGTTTTCATTTTCATTGACTTCCAGGAACTTTTTAATTTCCTCTTTTATTTCATCGATGATCCATTCTTCATTAAGTAATGAGTTATTAGTTTCCAGCTGTTTGCATGTTTTTTGTCTTTACTTTTGTTGTTGAGTTCTACTTTTACTGCATGTGATCAGATAGTATGCACGGTATAATTTCTATTTTCTTATATTTGCTGAGACTTGCTTTGTGCCCTAGGATATGATCTATTTTGGAGAAGGTTCCATGGGCTGCTGAGAAGAATGTATATTGTGTAGAAGTTGGATGAAATGTTCTGTAGACATCAACTAGGTCCATTTGATCTATGATATTTAGATCTTGGATTTCTTTATTGATTTTTTGTTTGGATGACCTATCTATTGATGATAATGGGGTGTTAAAGTCTCCCACAACCACTGTGTTGGGTTTATATATGCTTTTAGGTCTTTCAGGGTATGTTTGATGAAATTGGGTGCGTTGACATTGGGTGCATACAGGTTGATGATTATTATTTCCTTTTGGTCTATTTCCCCTTTTATTAGTATGGAATGTCCTTCTTTATCTCATTTGATCAATGTAGTTTGAAGTCTACTTTGTCAGAGATAAGTATTGCTACTCCTGCCTGTTTTGGGGGCCATTGGCTTGGTAAATCTTCTTCCAGCCTTTCATCCTAAGCCTATGCTTATTTCTGTCAGTGAGATGGTCTCCTGTAAGCAACAAATTGTTGGATCTTCCTTTTAATCCATTTGTCAAGCGGTGCCTTTTGATGGGTGAATTAAGTCCATTAACATTAAGTGTTAGTACTGATAGGTATGTGGTGATTCCTGTCATTTAGTTGTCTGTAGTTGTTTGAAGGTTTGATTGTGTATGTACCACATGATGTACTCCTTCTGTCTTGCTTTTTCTTTCCTGTGGTTGGTCTGCCTGCTTCTTCGATGGTTTAAGTTGGTTTCACTTTCGGTACCAGAATCCTTTGAAGAATCTTTTGTAGTGTTGCTTGTGGTCACATATTTGTTAGTTTCTGCTTCATTCATGGAAGACTTATTGCTCCATGTATTTTTGAATGATAGTTTTGCTGGGTAGAGTATCCAGGGTTGAGGTTTTTTTCATTCAGTGCCCGGAAGAGTCACCCCTGCTCTTCTTGCTTTTAATGTTTCTGTTGAAAGTCTGCCTGTGATTTTTATGGGTTACCTTGTATTTACTTGTTTTTTCTCTTTACAGCCTTCAATATTCTTTCCCTAGTTTCTGATGTTGTTTAATGATATAATGTCATGGGGTAGTTCTATTTTGATCTGGTCTGTTTGGTGTCCTGGAGGCCTCTTGCATCTGTATGGAATATCTTTCTCTAATTTGCAAAATTTTCCATTGTTATTTGTTGAAGCTATTATGTTTCCTTCGCTTGCACCTCTTCTCCTTCTCGATCCCATGATTCTCAAGTTTGGTCTTTTGATGGAGTCGGTGATTCTTGCAGTTTTTTTTCATCAGGTCTTGAGTTGTTTAAATTAATAGTTCTTTCATTTCCTGTAATTACATTTCATTCAAGTTCTGAGAATCTGTCTTCTGTTTGTTTTATTCTGCTGGATTGGCCTTCCGTTTTGTTTTGCAATTTTGTTTCATTCTTTTTTTTGAGTTTTCCATATCCTGGCTGTTTTCCTCTTTAATGTTGTCTATTTTGTCCTGAGTTCATTTATCTGTTTATTCATGTGTTCTCTATTTCACTTTGTTTTATACAGTGCTTCTATGGTTTCTTTATTTCTCTTTTGCTTTTTCAAATTCTCTATTTTTGTTGTCTTGGAATTTCTTGAGTGCTCCTGTACATTTTGGTTGACCCTATCCAGTATCATCTCTATAAAATTCTCATTGAGTACCTGTAGTATGTCTTCTTTTAAATTATTCTTGTGGGCTCCATTGGGCTCTTTGGCATAGTTTATCTTCATTTTGTTGGAGTCTGGATCTGAGTGCCTGTTTTCTTCATTCCCCTCCGGTTCCTGTACTAATTTTTTGCTGTGGGGAAAATGGTTTCCCTGTTTTTTCTGTCTTTCAGTCATTGTCTTTGGTGTTGTTACTGTCCCTGTACTGTGTGCAATTAAGTATTTTCTAGCTTGTAATAATAACAATGGTAATATTTAGAATGGAAGGGTGAGAGGAGATGGAAATCAAGAAGTTAAAGAAAAGGGAAAACAAATAAACAGACAAGAAGGAGAAAACAGAACAGGGAATCAGACAAGAAAGTTTCAAAGGTATAAACAAGGAGTGTTAGTGTACTAATCGACAGTAAGCTGAACAGACATTAGAGAGATTGAGAGGATTGAAAATAAAAAATAAAAAATAAATAAAGATAAGAATAAAAATAAAAAAGTAAATGAAGGAAATATCTATATGTAAAAATAAATTAAAATAAAATGAAAACTAGAAAATTTAAAAAAAAAACAAAAAAACAAAAAACTTCCAAGTTCAAATGCAATGAAGTTTCAGTCTTAATAATTTTGGTGTCCGTCTCAGTCTCCAATCCTGGAGATGGTGCCTCAGATGTTGTTCTGTAGTTGTCTCATCAAAGGGGACGCATAAAGTCGAACAAAACTACACACACACACACACAAAATCCCCACCAAGTGTCCCAATTTCAAATGCAATACAGTTTCAGTAAGTTTTTCAGCACGCAGGTGTAATTCAGTTGTTTTCTCATCAAAGGTAGGGAGAAAAAGAAAAAAAAAGAGTCTGGAGACAGTTCTAAGAATGGTATCTGCAGCTGTGGCTTGCCTGCTGCTGCTGTCAGCCTGCTGTTGCTGGAGTGTATATTTATGCAGATCTCAGGGGTGAGCTTAGCACTCACCTGGCCCTGCAGGCTTTGTTTACTCAGAGTTCTCCTGTGCGTGAGCCTCTGCTACAAGCTTTTCCCTTTCCAAACACACTGGGAAAGGTGACACTGCACTCGCTTTCTCAGGCCTGCGTGTTTATTTACAGTTCATGTGGGAAGTGGGTCTTACCCCCTCTCCTGTGCAGTTTGCCTCCAACTGTCACTTTTACAAGCTTTTCTGCTCCTGATTACTGGGCAGTGCTGCTGCTCCTGCCAGCTGCCATGTTTGTTTACAGCTTATGTGGGAAGTGGGTCTTCCCTCCTCTCCTGTGGAGTTTTCCTCCATCACTCTCACAAGCTTTCCTGCTCCTGGTTGCTGGGCCTGCACCCCCGCTCCCACCGGAGACTCTCTGGCCTGCCCAGCTTGTTTATTTACAGTTCCAGGAAGGATTCCCTTCCCCCAATCTTCAGCGCTCAGTACGCCCCACCCTCTTTCCTGCGTGTCTTTATTGTTCTTATTGCTTATTAGTCAGTTTCTCTTTTTCCCCCGGATGGAAGTCAGTCTGTCCAGGGGGCTATGCTGCTCTGGCCCAGGCTTGTCTGTGGGAGTACCACAGTAGCCATCTGGGTGTGGGCGACTGGCGGCCTGGGGGCCTTCCTTGTTTCTCTGTTTAACATGAAGTGGAGATTCTCTGCACCAGCTGGAGGTGTGGAGGGGTCAAAGTTTTGCCTCTTCTCAGTGATTATGCCTGCAAAATGTGTCTCCAGCATCTCTCCAAGATTTCACTATAGGAGGCTCACTTTCTACTTCCTCCCTCTAGCCGCCATCTTGGAATTCCTCTATGATGGGGTTTTTTGAGATAGGGTTTCTTGAACTATATTTGCCCAGGCTGGCTTCTAACTACCATCATCCTGATCTCTGCCTCCTGAGTAGCTAGGATTATAGGTGTGAGCCAAGGCATCGGCTACTTGATCTTTTTATACCAAAAAGAGATATATATTAAAGAAGCAATATTAAATAGTTGATGACCTTGTTAAAAAAAAAAGAAATTTTACTTATTGGTTCTGGGAGCTGAAATCTTCTTATACTATTTAGGACACCCTTTCCAAGAGTAAAGATCACCTTTCCTATGCTCTGGCTAAAGATTCACATACATTTTATCTGCCTAAGCCAAAATACATCCTCAAATACTAACAAATTAACATACAACTTACCTATTGTAAGGTACCTTTACACTTGCATACATAATTACTTCACCATATTGTTATTTTCAGCTTCACCTAGTTCACTGGAATTCTGGGAAGTACCCCAGCATTGCTGATGCCATCTCCAAGTCTGATGGCTTGGCCATTATTGGTGTCTTGATGAAGGTGAGTCTCGGCGATTTACACAACTCTGCTCATGCTACTTCTTCCCAATCAGAATTCAAGGAAGGACTGTACAAAGCAAAGGACATTTAAGTTGTTTTTTTTTTTTTTGGAAAGCTCCTATTTTACTTTTGAACAGGAATTAACAGTTTCCTCATTCTTTGTGGCCTTGTTTCTCTCTGGTTTTCCCTCTCAAAAGAGAGAAAATAAGTTCCCAATAGGGTTGGAAAAGGAAGTTGTCACAGAGAAAACTGAATTTCTGTTTTCCTCCTCTTCCAAATTCCTTTTTCTCTGACTCCCACTTCATAGAATCAGGTGTTTGTCAGTTTAATACCTCATCATGAAAAAAATATTAAAGAATTCCCTCTTCCATAAATTTCAACTGAATTTTAAAATGGTGAGTGTTGTTTAATTTCTCTATTGAAGAGTCCCTGAAAAGTTCTCTAAGAAATTCATTATTAAGTTGGGTATGATTGGCTAACTAATAACTTTTGTAATTATAGTAGTTTGAGTTAATCTGTAATAAGCACTCAAAATATGCCAAAAATGTACTAATACATAATTTCCTCTCTTAGAGCAAGGAAAAAAAAGAGCATCTCTCTTCAGTTATTGTTATTAAATGAAAAAATGTTTTAAAAACTTAGCTAAACAGTGTTGTTTTGATCACAACCTTTATCTCACACTTTTTTTTTTTAATCTCCAGGTTGGTCAGGCCAATCCAAACCTGCAGAAAATACTTGATGCCATAAATGCAGTGAAAACTAAGGTAAATAAACTAAGAGTTTAACTCAGAGCACAAGAATTCACAAAGGTAGAGAAATCATTTGTGTATACACTGGAAGTGTGGAGTGAGAAAGCTGTTGGAAAAATTACCAATGTGGAAATCAAGGAATTACTTAGATATTGCCTACACCTGAGACTCTGATAAAGAGATTTGTTTTGTTTTCATATTGTTCATTGAATTCAGGCATACAGAAAAACAGGTTACTTTGCCCTGAAGATTTTTGTGTAAAATAAGTAAGTTTTATACTGTTTCCAGAAAAGGTTCAACTTTAAATGCTTATATTACAAAGTGAGACAGAATATTTTTAAAATATCCAATAAAAACACCCAACTCAAGAATATTTTTAAAAACATATTAAACAAAAATGGAAAGAAATAATGAGTGATGATAAAAGAAATTAGTAAAGTAATAAAGAAAAAAGATGAATGAGTAAAAATAAAATTTTATAAATAAATGAAAAGTTGATTCTTTGGAATAACCAACCAAAAAGGTATGTTTTTGGCAACTTTGGTAAAGGAAAAGTGGCACATATGCAAAATACTATTAGAAATTTAAAAAACAGGGTATACCTAATGATATAGAAGAAATTTTCATTAGAGAAAACTATTAATAACATTATACCAGTAAATTTGAAAATTCAGATAAAATGGAAGATCTTCAATGAGAATATAAAGCACAAAAATTGACTCAAATGAAAATCCAAACAGATGGTAAGCCTAAGAATAAATTAAAAAGATAGTGTAAATGTACCTATTAAAAGAAAACTTCAGCCCCACCCCATTTTATGTGTTGTTTTGCTCAACCTTTAAGAAGCAATCATGTAAGTGTAAACGAAACATCCAAGTAAGGGGACAAACAGAAAACTCCTCATCAATGTATTTAAATCCAATATCAAAATCATGTAAGAATATTGTAAAAGCTATAGACCAATCACTCATAGGAAGATAGCTAAAAGAAATCTTAAAATTGATTATAGCAAAACAACTTCAACAGTGTATGAAGTGTAATATTTTTGAACTAGTAGAGCTTACTCCAAAAATATAGAATGATTTAGTATTAGAATATATCTAAATATAATTAATTATATTAACAAATTAAAGATAAGAACCAAATGTCACCAAATTGTTACATATTTTAAAAGCATTTAATAAAATTTCATGCCCATCCCCGAGGATAAGAGAAAACAAAATAACAAAATCTCTTGAATCTGATGAAAACTATTACCTTGAAATTTGGATCAAGCATCATACTTAGTAGCAAAACAATTGAAGGATTTCTATTTCAATCAAGAACAAGACCAAGGTACCAACTGTGACTATCGAAGTTAAATACTATGATTGAAGTCCCAATAAAAGCAATGAAACAAGAGTATATATTAGGATAAATATTGGAAAAAGCAAAGACAAGTATCACTATGGGCAGATGATATTACAATTGACATCTGTCTGGAAAATTCAAAAGAATCAGCTAGAAAACAGAATCAATTTAAAAGTCTGGTGAAGTGGGATACATAAAAGATTAGCCTACAAATATGTTTGTTTGCTACATATGGATAACAATCACAAAAATAATGGAAATAAGATTAATATAATCAATATGCATGTCAATGAATATCTTTGCCACTAGAACAGTATCTAGCTTCATTCCTAGAGAAACAAAAATGATTTATACTTGAAATTAAATAAATTTTGTTAAATATCAATTATAAAATCTTTTGGAACCCTTGCTTATCTTTAAGCAAATGAAGAAAGAGGAAGATTTCTTGGTCATTTATGCATTTTTCATCTTTTCTATTTTGTTGTTTACACACACACCCCAAACATGAAATAAGATAGAAAAATCAAACTCTTAGCTAAAATCTCTCTAATATATAGCAAGATAATAGTATATGTGTTACATATTTTTGTGTAAGTATTTTATATCACATATAATGATATTCCCCCTCCCCCCCCCCAGGGCAAACGAGCCCCTTTCACAAATTTTGACCCCTCCACTCTCCTTCCTGCATCCCTGGACTACTGGACCTATGCCGGCTCTCTGACTCATCCTCCTCTTCACGAGAGTGTTACCTGGTTCATTTGCAAGGACAGCATCAGTGTCAGCCCAGAACAGGTAGTGTATCCAATGCGTGGGAACTGGAACTACAAAGCAGGAAGAACGATTCAGTTGACAGTGTCAGTGCAGGGTATTATTTTTTCAATTAGGTTTTTGAACACTTTATTTTTCCTTCCAAATAAATAAGGTTCACTGCTCACATAGATCTATTGAATTACCCCAAGAAGTGAACTATGATACTGTTTTTACTTTATGAAGAAAATAAAACAAATGAGATCCAGAACTTCTGCTATTCTTCTCAATAAGAAAAAGCCTAACCTTGTTAGATATCTTAAGAATTTCAGAAACAAAGGGAAAACTGATTGCAAGTTCCGCTGACTCTGGAGAACTGTGACTCTCAGTTGGCATACCTTAGTAGTTGGCAAAACTTGCTTGTTCTTTTTTTCAAGCTTTAGGTTTAAAATATCCAACAAAATATCTTGTTAAGTATTGTTTGTAATGGTGACAAGATTGTTGATTGAATAGCTACTTTTGTTAGGTGTCTTGTATATGTTTTGTCAGCCAAGTCTCATAACACATACAGGACCAGCACTGTGACCTGTTGCTAACTGACATTTATTGAGTACACACTGCATCATTTTGAGGTCTTTTGCATCTGTCAGCCCATTTAATCTTCCCAACTACCCAGTGTAGTAGTTGCTATATGGAAAGGGAGGCGCCATACCTCAGCTGACAAGTGAGAAAGTTGGTTTTCTAACCCATCAGTCCTCGATAATTTAAGCAAAATGATTCATTCAGAGGAGTGTGAAGGATTTGGGGAACCCTCCCTAACGACTGGTGAAACTACTGCAGTCCTCAACTCAGTTTCTACATATTAAGTCATTAGTTATACTGAAAATAAAGTGCTTTATGTGATTTTAATGTGATTCTTTAAATGTTTCATCTTTCCAGCTGTCACAGTTCCGCAGTCTTCTTTCAAATGCAGAAGGTGAGACTGCTGTCCCCATACTGCACAACAACCGACCACCCCAGCCTCTGAAGGGCAGAACAGTGAAAGCCTCATTCTGATGGGTCTGAGAAAGACCTTATCCTCCCCCAAGAGCACAGCCCTGCTTCTGACATCCAGTAAAATGATCACTTCAAACAACAAATGTCTTTCATTTAGCAAGATAGCATAACTGCAAATTTAATCTGCAAAACTAAAAAACATTCATTTCGCTTTTTGGTAGTAATCTGTAATAATCTATAAACTCAAATAGTAATCTGTAAGTACACATTTATGCTTAAATTTGAGTTTATTTTGTGAAATTCTTTATAATTGCAATTAAGTGATTGTATCTCCTATTTTTTCATTTTAATTGAACTAATAAAATAGTTTTATCTCTTCTTATCTATTGTGCATTCTATAAGAACTATTGTTTCTTCTTTTACATTCAAAGATCTTAAATACCTTACTTATAAAAGTATTTCATATCAAATACCTAAGAGTAACCTAAGAGCTGCCAGAGATGAAATATTGAAAAATTAATTTTCATACTCTTGAAGACAAATATATAACTTAAGATCCCATCTGCATTTAATATTATTATGCTATCCCAACATTGATATCATTTGTATTCTCTGTGACAAAAATGGTATCTTTTATGCAGGAAGATGAAGCTTCTGATATTCCTTCCACATTTTCTCCCCACATTAGCAAGGATGATGCTTTTCTTCTGTTACTATATCTGGTTAGTTTGCATGAAGAATCTGTACTTTTAAATTGGAAGAAAAGTCACAAGTGAATGGTATATAACAATACCAAAAGGAGTCATTTGGCCTGTGAATCATACAGAAACTCAATGCAATCTTTTAGTCAGATGTTCACTTAATCTGAAGCCAGTTCTTTCTGAGGCTATATCTATATCCAGAATTCTACAAATCCTATCTAGGTCTAGTATTTTCTCTTGTGATTTACTTTAGTTGTCTCATCTAAAAAGCCATATTAGAGACTAAATCCCATTCCAATGTTCTTACTGTCTAAGGTCACAGAATCTCTAAACAACCATAATCAAAGTTAGAAAGCTAGACCAGCTGATTCTTTTTGTTCTGAGGGAGCCCTCTGAAAAAGCTATATTTGCTTGGCACCTAATAACCATACTAACAAATTTCTTTTGAAATATTTAATTTGGGGTTCAGATTTACATTGATCCTCTGTAATAAAATGTAATGGGCCCAAGGTAAACATTAGCTCTGCTGCCATCAGCAGTCTCTATAAACATAAAATTCTTCCTTTGCACAGGCAATCTGTGTGTATTACTCTATATTTGCCAAAACTGAGAAAGCTTGAGATAGTTACACCTGTCCTTCAATCCTGAGTCATATTGATTGGATTTTAATTCTAGAGTTATCAAAAGTCATCCTGGAAGCCAACAAAAGAGAGAGACAATTATTTTGGAAATTGCATCTACAAAAGATGCTCAGGTCTTATAATATTTAAAAATATTTTCTGAAATGAAAGTATGCAATTTAGAAATACATTTCACAGGAAGGTCCTAAAAAACACTCGACTTGATGAACTGTATATTTTTTAACAAGGTTAAAAAGGATTCTGGGCTTTATATATAAGTCCGTGACTCATAGTGAAAAGAGTAGAGATGTGATAGGAAGTACAGGATGACCATCAAACTTTATCCCTAAGCTGAATGCCAGCTGAGAGCATGTTTCCCCTTCCTGCTTCTGCCAGCATGCCATAGATTTAGCAGAACCCACGAGGTACATCATGGGGACTTTCCATATTTCTTTGAAGTAACCGATGAAAGCAGCTCTTGAGACAAGATATGTGGACTAGCCCTCCGGATCATGGGAGAATCCACCTATGTTTCATTGACTCTTTGTCCTGCTCTGTGCCCTCCTCTCTCTCTGACTTAGGTAGAGGATCTGGATATCCTGCAAGGACTCTCAGCTATTCCATCATGTTTGGCCACTGACTTTTGTGCCAAATCTACTGGGTTTCTCAGCATCCAGAATGGCAATGCCAGATGGTGAGGCCCAGCACAGGCTCAAGGGTGGAAGGGTGCTATCTTATCCTCTCTTTTCAGAATGGCCTTGCTGAACACTTATGGCACCTGTCAGCTGATTTGTGAGTCCAAGTAACTCAAAATATTTTCTAAGTTGTCCACTTCTGTAATTTTTAGCACAAACAAAAAACTCTAAACACATTGAGTTCATCAAAATAATTAGGCAGAAGTAAAAGAAGAGTTGTTTTCTTTGCATTTAATTTCCTTACAGATCTCAAGAGAGTATTGTGTCCATGTATTATAACTGTAGTCACTCCATTTTACTGGTTCTTTACTATTTTGTGGTCACAGTTACCTATGAGTATGTGATTACAGCCATGAAACTTCTCTCCCTCTCTTCTCCATCACCACACCCAAAAAAAAAAAACCACAAAATAAGATGTAGCCAAATTTGAGAACATTTTCCTCCCTTCCACATCACAAAGTCATTCCTCAAGCTCAGGGTAAGATCATTACCCTAAACTATTAAAAACTGTGCAACATCTGGGTCCAGAAGTTCACATCTATAATCCCAAGTACTCAGGAAGCAGACTCAGGGTCTCATACTTGCTAGGCAGGTGCTGTACCACTTGAACCATGGCGCCAGCCCTGTTTTAGTTATTTTTGGATAAGATGTCACGCTTTTTTGTCCAATACCAGTGATCCTTCTACCTAGCTGAAATTATAGACATGTACCCCCATGTCCTGTTTGTTTACTAAGCTAGGGTCTCATGACTTTCACCTAGGCAGCCCTTGAACCATGATTCTTTCACCTCCCTCAAGGCTAGACAAGAGAGAATCCAAGTCTCTCTTGGTCTTGTTTCCTAATGTACATTATTTTTCTTTTCTGCCTCATTCTTTACATCCAGTATGTGGAGAAAGAATGATAATATATTCTGGTGTTGTTCATGAATTGTCTTTTTACTGTTTCTTTCTCTTTCCTAACATTACTTTGAGTTATAATAAGGTCCTTTTGAGAAGAGACATGAAAAAGATAAAAAAAGAGATATAGAATCCAAATCTTACCAAATTGTTTATTAGTGGGTAAACTAACAAACAAAAGAACAAAAGAGTAACACGGGCATAAAAGTTAAAAGGACATCAAAGAAAAAAACTCAGTTGAGAAAGATATCATCTGATTAATAATGGGCCAAACTCAGTCTGAAAGTCATCAACATTCTGCTGTCAAGACCACAGAGCATAAGTAAATATTTTATGAGCATTATCTTCATGTGATTATTTGTCCCTGTTCTCTGTGAGGCACTGAACAGGGCTTTCCCTATTACTAACTGGATTTGGCTATTTTCAATCTTGGTAGATAGATAAGGAGGTAGATAGGCAGGCAGGCATAGATATAAAGGAATAAATAATTACATTTACTTCAGAGCTACTCTGCCTTGACAAAATAAAATCATAGAGATGGTATTTAACCTATTAAAAAAAGAAAGCTGATTTTGTGTTCTTGCGGACACATTTATAAAGCCAGTTAAACATGCATAAAATAAAAAATATTTTAATAGAAATAACAACATGTTCAAAAGAAATTAGAAAAGGTCATTGTGCTCTTATTCACAAATCTTGCTTTCAATACAGAAGTAATTCATAAAAAGTAACTAAGTGTCTTAAAGATATTTACTAGTCTCATTTTGTAGAGAAAGAGGGAACAGGAAGTCAAAGTGGTTATGTTTGTAGGCATCAGATCACAAGTGCACTCACAAGGCGTTTCTCACAATGGTCTCCGGGAGGCTAATCTCCTTAACATGAGAAGGTTTTTATACATTAAGTCAGAGAGGAAGGCATAAGTGACTTTATTTTTTAAATTACCTTTTTCAAGTCACCAATAAATATTTTAATACTCTTTAAAAGCAGGCATGTTAAACCATTCAGGTCTGTTATTTTCTATTGTTATTAGGTGACCTAAATTACCAGCAGGAGCAAACATGGACAACAGAACATACTGTGCTAGAAAAAAAAATAAAAAAAGAACCTTTTCTCACCCATCTACCAAAATAAATTCAAAATGCATTAAATTTTCTGATGAAATTAATATACAAGAAAATACATAACTATTTAAATAACAACTGGTTGGAGAACTTTATTCCAAACAACAAATGTAAAAAGAAAATAAAATAATTAATTGAACCATGAAAATTTTAAGTATGTAGATCACAGCAACAGTAGTAAAAAAAATTAATGGAAAAGAACTTCACAACTGAGAAAAATTTTTCAATGTAATGACTTCCACAGGAACAATGTTCTTGCTATATAAAAACTTTTCACAAATCATTAACATAAATTCCAAGAGAAAATAACAAAAAGATGTAAAGAGACAATTGAATAAAAATATACAAGTGACCAATAAATACATGAAAATGTTCAATATTAGCAAATAAATACAGATCAAAACAATGTCCCATCATTCTTTACATATAAAATTTGCAAAGATTTTAAAAGTAATACAGTGCTATCAATGATTGGAGGAAATAAGAGCTGTTGTACAATGCTAGGGAAAGGACAAATCAGGACAGTTTTTTCATCAGCAATGCAAAAGCTGTGTTTCAGAAGGAATCTTATAAAAAAATCACGTAATGAAAACTATAGGCTCGTAAAGGAAATGCAAATCAAAACAACACTGAGATTCCATCTCACCCCAATCAAAGTAGAATCATCAAGAAAACAAACACCAACAAACAAAAATTGTATGTTCTCCCTCATATGTGGACTTTAGATGTAGGGCAAATGCAGTAATGTTGTTGAACTTTGGTCACACACTAAGGGGAGAGCACATATGGGAAGAATGGGGATCGGTAGGTAGGAAACCCAAAACCTGAAAGTGTTTGATGTCCCCACTGCATAGGAACTAATGCAACAACCTTAAAATGACAAAGATCAATATGGGAAGGTGATCAGGAAGTAGTGAAGAGGTCAGGTAGAGATGAATCAATTCGGGTTGTAATACACTTGTGCATGAAAGCAATGCTAGGAATCTCTCTGTATAGCTATCCTTATCTCAACTAGCAAAAACACTTTATCTTTCTTATTATTGCTATGTCTACTCTTCAACAAAATTGGAGAAAAGAGCAGAACAGGTTCTTCCTGGAAGCAAGGAGTTTGGGGGAGAGAGAGTGGGCGGGGGCAGGGTGGATAAATGGCCCTAATGAATAAAAAATGTAGGCATGGATGGGAGTAAATCTTTATACACTGCTGATGGAAATGTAAATTAGTGTGGCCACTATGGAAATCAGCACGGAGGTTCCTCAAAAAACTAAAAGTAGACCTTCCATGTGATCCTGCTATACCACCCGTAGACATGTAATGGGAGAAATGTAAATCAGCCTATAAGAGAGATATCTGCACACTGATGTT